TTTTGAATGAAACAGTGTTAATCCTTGTCTAAAACCCAGCGGATCTAAAAAAATCCTTAGCGATTTTAAGTGACCAGTGGTTTATCAACATGGAGAAATACTAACATATCTTTGAAATTGTTTAACTAAATTAAAAAGTAAAACAGTGTTAATCCTTGTCTAAAACCCAGCGGATCTAAAAAAATCCTTAGCGATTTTAAGTGACCAGTGGTTTATCAACATGGTGAAACACTAACATATCTATGAAATTGTTTAACAAAATTAAAAAGTAAAACAGTGTTAATCCTTGTCTAAAACCCAGCGGATCTAAAAAATCCTTAGCGATTTTAAGTGACCAGTGGTTTATCAACATGGTGAAACACTAACATATCTTTGAAATTGTTTAACAAAATTAAAAAGTAAAACAGTGTTAATCCTTGTCTAAAACCCAGCGGATCTAAAAAAATCCTTAGCGATTTTTAGTGACCAGTGGTTTATCAACATGGTGAAACACTAACATATCTTTGAAATTGTTTAACAAAATTAAAAAGTAAAACAGTGTTAATCCTTGTCTAAAACCCAGCGGATCTAAAAAAATCCTTAGCGATTTTAAGTGACCAGTGGTTTATCAACATGGTGAAACACTAACATATCTTTGAAATTGTTTAACAAAATTAAAAAGTAAAACAGTGTTAATCCTTGTCTAAAACCCAGCGGATCTAAAATAATCCTTAGCGATTTTAAGTGACCAGTGGTTTATCAACATGGAGAAATACTAACATATCTTTGAAATTGTTTAACAAAATTAAAAAGTAAAACAATAATTCATGTGAGAAATATTCTGTGGAAACGTAGCTCTAGCAGTTTGTACGTTAACTGTGATCTTTGAAACATGAATAGTTCCAACTCACATCAAAAGTAGAATTATTTTTGAATGAAACAGTGTTAATCCTTGTCTAAAACCCAGCGGATCTAAAAAAATCCTTAGCGATTTTAAGTGACCAGTGGTTTATCAACATGGTGAAACACTAACATATCTTTGAAATTGTTTAACAAAATTAAAAAGTAAAACAGTGTTAATCCTTGTCTAAAACCCAGCGGATCTAAAAAAATCCTTAGCGATTTTAAGTGACCAGTGGTTTATCAACATGGAGAAATACTAACATATCTTTGAAATTGTTTAACAAAATTAAAAAGTAAAACAATAATTCATGTGAGAAATATTCTGTGGAAACGTAGCTCTAGCAGTTTGTACGTTAACTGTGATCTTTGAAACATGAATAGTTCCAACTCACATCAAAAGTAGAATTATTTTTGAATGAAACAGTGTTAATCCTTGTCTAAAACCCAGCGGATCTAAAAAAATCCTTAGCGATTTTAAGTGACCAGTGGTTTATCAACATGGTGAAACACTAACATATCTTTGAAATTGTTTAACAAAATTAAAAAGTAAAACAGTGTTAATCCTTGTCTAAAACCCAGCGGATCTAAAAAAATCCTTAGCGATTTTAAGTGACCAGTGGTTTATCAACATGGAGAAATACTAACATATCTTTGAAATTGTTTAACAAAATTAAAAAGTAAAACAATAATTCATGTGAGAAATATTCTGTGGAAACGTAGCTCTAGCAGTTTGTACGTTAACTGTGATCTTTGAAACATGAATAGTTCCAACTCACATCAAAAGTAGAATTATTTTTGAATGAAACAGTGTTAATCCTTGTCTAAAACCCAGCGGATCTAAAAAAAAAAAATCCTTAGCGATTTTAAGTGACCAGTGGTTTATCAACATGGAGAAATACTAACATATCTTTGAAATTGTTTAACAAAATTAAAAAGTAAAACAGTGTTAATCCTTGTCTAAAACCCAGCGGATCTAAAAAAAATCCTTAGCGATTTTTAGTGACCAGTGGTTTATCAACATAGAGAAATACTAACATATCTTTGAAATTGTTTAACAAAATTAAAAAGTAAAACAATAATTCATGTGGGCAAATATTCTGTGGAAACATAGCTCTAGCAGTTTGTACGTTAACTGTGATCTTTGAAACATGAATAGTTCCAACTCACATCAAAAGTAAAATTATTTTTGAATGAAACAGTGTTAATCCTTGTCTAAAACCCTAAAATTAGAAATACAAAATACAGATTTTAAATTTCTCAAATAAAAAAACATCAGGATTATTTTACAAATGCGCGTTCTTTGATATAATTTATACTAGTCATTTATGCTTTTGGATATAACTTAATTACTATTATCAAAACATTATATATCCAAATCGAATATAATAAAGTTAAATTACCTAATTTAATAAAAACTAAACGACTGTTACAGTAAATTATATTAGTCTTTTAGGGGCACTGAGTAATCTTTCTTTTGCTGTTAATTAACATTTTCTGGTGCACCATTTGTTTATTATACTATCATTTAAAATAAAGTTAAAATCAGCAAAAGTAAGAATACTTTTAACCCGAATGAGGAACACGGTGGTTTGTGTTACGGATCCACCTCATTCGGGTTTTATTTTTTTAAGTCTGGAGTGACCTTGACCTAGATTCATTTTATAGACAAAAGAAACAAATAATGATAAACTAAACTATTACATAAGTTAATAAGTTAAGTTAATTCTAATGTTTTGATAAACAATGATTTCTGAAATATGTGAGTTTTAATCCTTACATTTTATAAAAACCCTTTGTGTTGAGGGTGGGGGAAGTGAGGGAATCATATATAACACAGCATAGGTAGCTCTCTTGTCATTGTGTGCTGTGTTTCAGAGCGTTCCGTTTCGATAAAAATGGATGAAGACCCATGCCTTAGAAAAAGAACATTGCCCAGGCCAGTATTAGCACCAATGAAGAGGCTACAAGAACAAGCTGAAGAATCAATTCCTAAAAAGAAGAAAACTCAATTAGAAGAAGATTTAGAAGTTAGTGATGTAGAAACTAGCACATCAGTGCAAAATTTACTTGATATTATTGTTGAGGAAGCAGTAACTATAGAAGAAGAAAAACCATCAGACAAAAAAAAATCTAAATTTACAAGTAACGAGTTCGTTTTATCATCATCTTCTGAAGATGAAGATGACGTTAAATCCACAAATGAAAGGGCTAAAGAAAAAGCAAATGAAATTTCAAAAAAAGACAAACCGGTAGAAGAAAAAAGAAAAATTATTGTAATTTCCCCTCAACCAACAAAAAATCTTTGTAAATACATCTATGTGAAAAAACCTAAGAAAGGTGAAAGATGCCAAACTTGGACGAGAGGAGAATTCTGTACCATACACACAAAAAAAGAAGAAGAGAAAAAACCTAAAACAAATTATAGCAAAATTGATGAAAACTTAAGAAACATTCAGACTCATTCTCAAGAATTGGAGTCAAAAGTTGAGCATTTGCTTCGAACTAAAAACAATAATGAAGATTTGAAAAAGAAGATTAATGAAATTGAAAAAAAATTAACAATGATACAAACAAGTCTTTCAAGTACTCCACAAAACAATGCTGTAAATAACAGTCAGAAAAAAGTAAAGAAGCTGCACAAGCTAAATAAAAATTTTATCTATAAATTGGTCAATTACGACGCAAATGGTAATGCAAAATTTCAATCGGCAGAAAAAACTGTATGGATTAAGCTTCCGAAATCATTAAGAACATCTGAACCAAACGAACTATTAAACAAATTATTTAAATATGACAAAAATGATAATAAGTTCAAATTTGAATAGTGATTGCCAATCAATTCAAGAAACTAGAATGAAATATTTAAAATGTATAAAAATGTAAAAAAAGTAGAAAAAACAAAAAAAAAAACAAAAAAAACTGTCGTGTGAGTGACATTTTACAGCTGTTAAATGTTAAATTGTAAACTTCCAATATTTTACGCAGTTTACAATTTATATATTTAAGCTGTTTGTCTATCTCCGCCTGAAGAGGCCCAAAAAGGCCGAAACAGTTTTTACCAATAAATTAATCTATAAAAGTTGACTAATCATATATATTTTATCTTATTTTTTCTATTTTTTAAGAAACATTTAAATTTGTTTTTATTAATTTTTACTAACATCAGGAGTGTTTCAATATTGCAGAAAGAGTTTGCTATTCTTATTTAAATTTTGTATTAAGAGAGGTAACTTAAAAACTAACCAATTTTTTAATTAATTATTAAGAGACATTGGTCGAACTTTCTTTTGCTGTTTTAACAGTAATAATCATTTGCTGCTGCAGCATTTATAATTTGTATACCCATGTTAAAAGTAAGGCTAATGCAGCAAAAGTAAGTGCAAATTTAACCGAATGATGGAACACCGTGGTTCGTGTTATGGATTCACCTCATTCGGTCAACATTTTTTTAGTCTGGTTTGAATCTATTTTGACCAGTAATCTACTCTTGACCTAGAATCTATTTATGTAGTAAAGGAACAAATAACATTTAAGTAATCCAAACTACATTCACCATTTAAGGTCTAATGACAGATGTATGTCATCTAATTAAAAGATGTTATAACTAATAATTGTCATACAGGTTTTGTTAACTGACATCACAATTCTAGTGAAGCATTGAATCATTATACTGGATTAACGTTTAACCGATATTTTTTTATAGGATGGTATTTTAATTAAAGATTTGGGTTTTTACTTTTGACATGGCAGTAAAAATGCTTAGCAAGTATTGGTTTTGTATTCTTTGAGTGATGATAGAAATGGAATTAGAACCTAAAAAATTTAGTTGTTCATTTCTTATACAATATTTATTTAAACCACACCATTTTTGAATTACAAATAAAATGTACGTATACGGGAATGAAAAAATATTTTAAAACAGTTTAAAGCTGTGGTAAAACGCATTAAAAATCATCAAACGTTGCAAAACTTGTTGCGTCCAATTGCATAGCATATATACCTATTAATCCCCCCCCCCCCCCCCCATTTTCCTCTCAACCCCCTTCTCTTCCACTGTTACGTATAAAAGCACAGCTTAAACTGTATGATATCATTCTCCCTTTGGCACCTACACCTACAATGCAGATCAACAAGATGATTTACAATATGGATGGTGTATGTGAGAGTTTCTTTGACCTGGCAGTCCATGGTTCTCCTTTTTTTGGATGCATATTTCGATTTGGCATTTTTAGTGAAGAAACATTATCCCCGATATTCGAAGATCGAATATATAATGCGTCTCTCCGAGAGGATTTAATGGAATACCAAACTTTTATGATCGATACTGTCAATGCTGGACTCATAGGAGTGTTATCCTTAACTGTAGATGATGATTAAAACTGATACTAAAGTTAAAGCGAAAAGAACGCAGAGCGGGTAATAGATAATTTGTTGGTTTATGTTCGCAATTACATTAAAAATACCCCCGCCGCAGCAAACCTGCAGACTAAGCGAATTTCCATTTGACTGATTGGATTTACACTGAAATGTCTACTTAAAAATATAAAATTTATTCCCGATTTAAATAGAATTAGTTTAACAAGTACTTAGGTTTGCTGCATCAGGGAGGGTAAAACTGTTTTTTTTTTGTAAAATGTTAATAGTTAGTAAGAAATAAAAACATTTTCCAAATTTGATCAAAATATGTTCATAAACAAGCAAACTACAACAGTAGACTCCATAAGAAAAACATGGGAATTTTAAATTTACAATTTTTTGGAATTTTCTCCGTAACCATTAGGCGCATAATAACGCTTCAATATACTAAATTATTTGTTTTTTTAAGCTCTACAAAATGGTTTGAAAATAAATTGCTAAATTTTATGTTTTTTGGGTCAAAAATGGGAAAAACCTATTTTTACCCCATAAAACCCCCCGTAAACACCCGTTCCCATGGTCCGATCATGCTGGATCGCGAACTCGTTCAAATAAACGTAGGTTTACACGTTTGTACCAAATTTCATCAAAATCGGATCATTTTTGCTCGAGTTATCGTGCTGACGGACACATATATATATATATATATAAATATATAAATATATATATATATATGAATTTGAACGGATGGTGTTTTTGGCCTCTAGGGACCTCAAAACGAAAAAAAAAATCGGTCCCGCGTCCAGGTCTTACCATGAGTACTACGGTAATAGCTTATTCCCTATATGGGAAATTCGCTAAAACACAAAAAACACAAAAAAAAACAAAAAAAAACTGTCGTGTGAGTGACATTTTACAGCTGTTAAATGTTAAATTGTAAACTTCCAATATTTACACAGTTTACAATTTATATATTTAAGCTGTTTGTCTATCTCCACCTGATGAGGCCTAATTAGGCCGAAACAGTTTTTACCAATAAATTGAACTATTTACATTGACTAATATTATAGTTTTCGTTTTATTGCTTTCGAAACCGTCTGAATAAATTTTATGAAAACACTAGACTAAAAAAAATACAGAGTGGAGAATAGATCATTTTGTAGTTCTTGCGTCTTAAAAACAAAATGTCAACAGTTTGTATAAGTTATTCTTTTAAATATACATACGTTTTGCTACCGATTACATCGACATCTAGCGACTATGTTGGAGTTGCACCATGTTGTTTAAATACCATAAGGATCACAAATGTAGTAATTCAAACATAAACGGTTTTTATCAAATCCATTTTTTGTTTTTATTTCATGTAGTTTTATAGGAAAATAATAATTTAAGTTACAATAGTTTATGGACCGTAATTGTTACAGGAATGGATGTTCTACCATTGACCATATAACATTAGTTAATGCTATACATAAAATACATAAGACCATAAAATATACACAGTTTTCCACTTTTCAAGTTTGTCACCATTTTGCAAAAAATGGTCGCCATTTTTGAAATAATAGAATGAATATTTTTAACGTTTTTTATGGTCTTTATGGAATGTGGGTGCAGTTTTAGGACTTATTTGACTTACTTACACTTCGCATTTTCGCTACAAACCTACTTGTTTAGGAGCTACATGATGTAAAATGTACATCGGAAGTTATTGTTCCATAGGCTTTAACTCCTAAACAAGTGGGTTTATCGAAAAAATGTCAATGATGATAAAGTTTTTAAATTGCATGTTCTATCCGAAGACATGATAAAATATAGGGGGGTGTCCTATAAGAAATTTCAAAGTTGACCGCCATATTGGAAAATGGTGACCATTTACAAAAAATATTATTAAATAATTTTTGAATGTCTTTAAAAACAAGGGAATCTTCTGCATTTAAAGTTTGCTGTAGAATCATTAGTTACTGAGATCCCAATGGTGGCACACTTAAAAAAAACACCCCATATAATCAAAGGTTCTACTATTTTGTTCAGAATTTAAAGGGTAGCTACAACATACTAAATCTTTATTATAATTGTTTCGGCTATTTCCGATAAAATCTGTTTTCGTCTTTTAGTTTTGTTTAAGAATATCTGTAGTAGAACAAACCTTCACAGAAAAAGCATATAACTCAAATTTATCAATACTTAGGAATAGATCTGTAAAATACACAAATATCATATCTGGAATGTTTACATCAGAAGTCAGAAGAGTTAAACGAAGAACAATGTAATAAGTCGATATTGATCCAATTTATAGAAGAAAAAAGAAAAGAGGATACCGGACTTTAACTCGAAACCGTTTGGATCATAGTTATTAAAGCTATTGATTTTGCTACCTGTGGAATTGAATTTCACCAGAGAATACCAAATAGTATGGTTCTGGAACAAAGCTTTCAAAACATCTATATAGGGAAAATAACGTAAATTAAGCGTGCAAACAACACGATATCACGTATTCAGAGTTTTTAAAATCTTTAGACAGATCAATTGCAGACAAACTACTCGCTAAGAAAGCTTGGAAACTTGTAAATTACTCTAGTAATGGTAGTATTTGAGAAAAAGCAGCAGAATTATCAGTAACTTCAAAGGAACTTCGAAAATATTTCTAAATACTTTAAACCAGTCAAGAACGTATTTTATAATTATAATAGACAACAACCACTAGATGATATGTTGATCTGTGGTAATTTATGTTTCATTTTTTTAGTAAAAGCACTAGCCATCTATAAATAAATATTGTTATGCTTATTAGTCATCAGTTATGTCCAAGACACTGACACTTTCAGGTAGGAGCTCAGTGCTCTCCGTAAATTATTTCCCACCTATTGAAATAGGAAATATTGATGAATATGAAATAGGTCTTCTTAGTTTTGAATCGTACAACTCAATACCAAACGTTGATGAAACAAACAACCAATTTCATTTTGATGGTGATAAAGTGATTACTATTCCAAAAGGTGCATATGAGGTGCAGGATATAAGAGATTACATACAAGAGAAGTTTCACAAAATAACAACAAAGGAAAAGAAATACTACATTCAACTAGGAACTAACAACAATACTTTACAATCAATGATCAAATGTACTGTGGAAGTAGATTTTTCTATGCCTAATTCAATTGGAAAACTTTTAGGATTTGGAAATATTGTAGCTAAACCCGGAATCAGTTATTATTCTGAAAACATTGTAGACATTTTTAAGGTAAACACAATAAGAGTTATTTGTAATGTAACGACAGGCTCATATCTAAACAACGAACAATCTCATGTGATTTATCAATTCTTTCCTGCTGTACCACCCGGCTATAAACTAGTTGAAATACCTAATCCTGTCATTTACTTGCCATTAACAACCCAGACAATTAGTAATATTACGCTCAAAATTATGGATCAAGATAACAGACTAGTTGATTTTAGAAACGAGAGAATAACAGTTTGTCTTCATTTGAACAAGATCAAGTAAACACTTATTAAAAATAGCTTAAGTAGAAAAATCATTCTTATCTGTCCAATATTTTTATTGGAGTATAAGTATTGCTAGGTTCTCGGATTATACTTATTTGGTTTACATATACTCTACAGTAAACATCTCCAATGATAAAACATCACATTATTGATAAGTTTGGCCACTCTCTGTACACCCAAAAACGAGAAAGAAAAGATTTGGAAGATGAATACGAAGATTATGACGATGAAGATACTAAACGGTTTAGGGTTTCGTCGGATCCTGAAACCGCACGTCAAGCAGTAACAAGAGGTTATTTAACCCGTTACTATATTAATAAACTGGAATTGAAAGGATTGGAAGAAAGACTTAGTGACCTAAATAAAAAGTTGGAAAAACTGCAGGAAATGAGTAATGGTTTTTCAACATTAACTGAAAACTTGAAATCCTCCAATAATGACCTTAAGTTAACAGTAAAAGAAGTCAAGGAAGCTGTTTTTCCTCCAGAAGGATGTTGCTACGATGGTAAAAATAAAAGAATTACTCATGTAGCCAAAGGTATTAACAAAGATGATGTAAGCACTGTCAGTCAAACGTTGACATATGATTTCGAAAAAGATATATTTAAATGTGGTGATGTTGAATTTGATTTGGTTGTAAATAGTCCTTCAAAACCTGTAGTAATAGCAAAAGCTACAAGTATGAGTGGATTTGCAACATATCGTGGTGGAGATTACAAGTTTCGCACACACGTATATCGAGTTGGTGGAAAGCTTATAACACACAGGGGGTCAAAGTTTGTTTGGAATGAGGAAAAACGCTATATCACACCTTTGTATGATGGTGAACAAAGAAAAAATCTATCAAAATTTAAGACCGTAGTGGTGGATAGTGAAGAAGATCTCTAACAAATTAGGTGTCTCAAAAGCTCCAGTCGTGGTTATAGATTGTTCCAAACAAAATTAATCTGTAAAATCTTCAAGCGTGGATATAAAGTTGTAATTGGAGTTGAATGAAAATACAAACGAAGGAATATCCGCTTATTGTTTGATTCTGCATGATAAGACTGTAACATACACACCTCTAAAAGGAATTGTAAAAGTAGTGTTGTAGATGGAAACACTCGTTGCGGGAGGGTATAAATAAAACTCAGAGTAATCGGAAAGCTTCAGTTTATCCATACTCTCAGTACGGAAAACATCGCTTTCAAAGATGGGATCATCGCAGTGTGCAACGGATACAACAACAACAATGTTATTAAAAGATGAAAAAAACAAAAACCAATGTAAAGAAGCAGTATCTGAATTTTTATCTTTTAACGAAGAAGAATCACGTACAGAAAATGATGTAAACACCAACATCGTAACGAAGGTAATCGGAAAAAGGAAGAGGAAACAAGAAGAGGAAATGCCACTACACAAGTTGATAGAAGTATTTCTTCGTATATCATATCCAGTTTCAAGATGTATGACAAAAATTATATCTATCGGTATGTACAAACCGTTGGATTATTCTCCAACAGTGCTATTGAACCATGGTGCTAAAACTTTGTTGTTTTCGGAAAATGCTTGGGAATCGTTTATTAAACATTTGCATTTGATAGAATGTTATTTGGAGAACAATCTGTTTGGAAGAAAAACTGCAATCAGGCTCTCAGACTGCGACATCGAGATAGATGTTGTTAAACAGCGAGGGGAGCAGCAAGTTAGATTTAGGGAGCTAACCAAACACGATGAAAGAATTTTACTTACCAATTCTGAATTTTATTTATTGAGTTGTTCTACATCATCGATAACAAGATACATGAGGCAGCTAGTTTTTTCTTCCCCTGTCGTGAAAGATTACTTAGTGGAAACGATGGAAAAACAACCCGACGTTCAGATATTGCATGGACCTGTGGATACATCGATATTCAACCGGATACCAGAAGAGGTGGAAATGTGGAGACAAGTTAACGCGTTGGAACAGAGGGAAAACATCGACGAAGAAAAGATAGAAGGATCTAGTTCTGTGAGTGTAACGGAGGAACAAGTGACGGAGGAAAACCACGAAACAATTTCAACAGTAGCAGAACAGACGAGTGATGTTAAAGGTGTAATGAATTTGCAAGACGGAGAAAAATAGAAGAAATAAAAAAGGAAACAACAGATAAGCTGTAGCCGATGTAAACAGGACAGCAAATATGTTAACATCACGTGGGGTAGGCCTACTGGGGGGAAGGTGCCCACGTTAAATATACACCAACGCGCTGACAACTGTACGGCCTGATCTATAAAAAAGGGATCTACCGTGGTGTGGAAACCAGTTGTTATCTTAAAACGATATGGAGAGGAAGATTTCCTTCGCTGACAGAGTTGAAGAGATTCAAGAAAAACCTTGTGTAGTGGAATTTCAAGCTTTTCGAGGAAACAAAAATGAATATATCATAAAGGAACTAGTATTCCTAGATTTAAATACAGGAATTGTCTTTCCATTTCTATTTGAACCTCCATTCGCATTTAATAATCTCAACAGTAAAACGAAAAGAACCAATAAATGGACTACGAGATACTTCCATAGTATCGATTGGTGTGAAGGGTTTACAAACTACAAGAGTCTCGAAAATATTATGTATCATTTTTGTAATGAGTTTACAACTGTATACACAAGAGGATTAGAAAAACGTAATTGGATACAAGCATATACGACTCGGCAAGTTTACGACGTGATATTGGATAAGAATTTCGAATCTCCCAAGTTGGAAAATATATGTCGACTAGTAAAAAACAAACAACATACACAATCACAGTGCGCATTGAAAAATGTATACCGATTAGCAGCTTTTTTGGAGCCAATGAGGAGTGGTGGGGGTAGCGAGGGGTATAAATACGAAGAGCAAACCTTGACAATGCATGAGTATTACTCTAGACTCCAAGCTAGCAACAACGACGAACTAAATAAATCATGAGTTCACATTTCCTACAAACGTTTGTTGATCAATTCAACGCACAGTCCAAATCAAACTGTTTACTTACTAAAAAGTGTTCAGAACTAAAAGAAAACAAACATTATACAATTCACAATATCAAGAAGATTGACACTTCCATCGGGGATGCCATCGTGGTTTCTTTAAGTGATGCACCATTTACTTCGGGGGATGAACCGAAGTTTCAAGTATTTCTACCTAAACGATTTGTACATCTACTACAAAATGAAGATCTGAGAAGCATCGAACCCGGATCCCTGTACCTGGTGTCTCGTGGGTCAAGCGGAAACAACTCTACAGAATTATCTCTTCACATGACACAACGTCCTTAGATTTAAGTTCTGTTTGTAGAATGTACTTTTGTAAAAGATTTAATAAATAAATAAAGAGTAAAAAAACAGCATATCGGTATTTGTTTTGATACCGATATGCTGTTTTTTTTTAACAAATTTGGATGACCTTGAACTTTACAACATAAAAGGGGGGTGTAACATCGGTCGCTCATCAGTCTGAAGTAGAACCAGCTAAAGGAAACCCATCATGAACAACGAATTGTATCGAGTTTTAACACATCCTGCACTAGGGTTGGTGAGTTGGAATTTAGAAGCTGTACTGAAGTTCGAAAGAATAATCAAAAACATTATTGAAATCCAGAGAAAAATAGATAGGCATGGTTTGTCAGCAAAAACAAAGTCCAAATATGGTGAGCATTATAAGGAATGTCCATGGTCAAACGATGATGCAACTTGTGGTCCCGATACTTGTGTTTGTTGTAGCATTGGCTTAAACAGAAGTAACATCACACGTTTACTTAATGAGCTAGCTTTGGTTCTCAAACCATATGAAACCAGATCATCTGAATAACAAAAAAATATCTCTAGGTTTAAATTTTCAAATTTAAATCTGCAAACATCACTACACCTAAGTTTGTTACAATCACATAAAAGGGTTGCCACAGTATTCCAGCGTTCAGTTTGCACACTCTAAGGTTCACGATAACACGATGGGTACCAACGTGAGTGCTTGGAGTTTAATCTCGCAAGAACCTCGATTTCCTCACGGAGTGTTATCCGATAGTTTTGTGCAACGTTTCGACACGTTTATGGACTGGGAACTTCTTTCTTTGCACTACATTTTCACTATAGAAATGTTGAGGATGTACTTTCACAGGGTGAATTGGTTTCACGTTTTAAAAAGACAACGGTTCTCAGAAGAAATACTCGTAGAGATGATTCCTACTTTCAACAACTGCTGTTGGAAGGAAATTTGTAAATATCAAAACCTTTCTGAAAGTTTTATCGAAAACTACAAAGATCATTTAGATTGGAATTTAATATTTGAACATCAACAAACGAGGGGGATATTCTTAAAGGAGCATGGACAATATTTACCATTTATGAACTTTAGTGATTACAACGGGTCTGACTACGACGAGGAGTGCTCTACCCCACCGCTACAATCAGAAGTCTACACCATTACACCTAATCTTTGCAACGAGACTAAACACAATCAATCTACTCCTTCAGTACGAAATAACTCCATAAATTTACGACCTGACCACAAGTCAAAACAGGAGCATTCTACACCACCATCATCGGGAACCCTCTTCATTACACCTCACCTTCATTTGATTTGTATCTTAGGTTTAGTTTTTGCAAATGTAATAATTTAGCGTAGTCAAAATAATGTTTATTGTAAATATGTTTATCTAAATGTTTGAAATAAATATGGGAAAAATAAAAGCTAGATCGTATCGGTATTTTGTTTCAATACCGATATGTTGTTTTTTAAAATTTACTTTGGATGACCTTGAACATTGCAACGTCTGCTGTAATCAACCAATCAGAAGCTGGTTTTCATTCCACGAAAATAAGGTACCTACCGCATAAAAGGACGATGCGAGACCTACTACTATCCACTTTACTCTCATCGGAGCTCGAAGTAACATGTCGTGGTGTATAAAACATCCTGAATATTCAAAAGAAAATGATAGGATCAACTCGTACATACACGCCCGAACGAGAAGTTTTGTTAGCGAATGTAGAATCGAACTCGCTGAAGCAGGATTCTTCTACGCAGGAAAAAAGGACCAAACGATTTGTTTTTACTGCGGTGGTGGACTACACCATTGGCAAGATATCGATGATCCTTGGGAAGAACACGCGAAATGGTTTCCCAAGTGTCCGTTCGTATTGGTACACAAAGGACAAGATTTCGTCAACGAAATGAGATCCAGAACCGAAAGAAACGCCCTACAAAAGAAAAGGATTCCAACAAACAACATTGCTGTACCCCCACCGATAGAAGAATCAAACATCGAGTGTATAATATGCATGAACAAAAATCGTAATCTACTCTTCTTGCCATGCAAACACTGTTTCGCTTGTGACATATGCGGATGGAGATTCGATAACTGTTGTTACTGTAGAGCTCCTATAATTTCTATGATCCAAGTGTTTTTAGTTTAGATCTGTATTAGGTTTAAGTTTTTAAAACAGCTATATTCCTTATATTGTGTGTATTTTAAATTTTCAATAAAGAATTAACAAAAATCAGCATATCGGTATTCATCCCACTACCGATATGCTGATTTTTTTTAAACCCAAACAACGACCTTGAAAATATCGATCCACCCTAGCTCTGACACGTCACCATGACGTAACCCACTACACCATGTCCTAGGTCACGTGCTAGGTCATGCACCGATGCTTATATAATATCATCCAGTGTAAAAAGGATCCATATTTAGCAAGGAAGTGATGGATATATTAGAAAGACTGGTTGACGGTGAAAGAAGCCTTACCTAACATTTGAACATATTTAACAGTGAAATTAGTTAAATTGAATAGTTTTCTGTACTACAACTAGCAATAAAAAAACATTCAAACAGTTTCACAAAAGGACAAACGATAAACAGAAATACGTTGGGTTACAATACAACCAAGAGTATTTAATGAGAGTCAACATTTGCTTTAAATAAATAGTAAATTATAGAGTAAAGAGTGGGGAATTTGTTTTTTTATAGCTTGATCGTTTGTACGTCTAACATTAAGCAATGTGCAATATACCAAATGTTTGTTATTTTAAAAAATCATTCAAAAACATAACGATTTGAATGAATAAACAAGTCTTAGAAATATAAGGTACTATGTTGCAAATGTGGCACATGGTTGTAATTAGTGGAACAATGATCTGCCCGCATGTACCGCCAACTGTTCACGAAGAAGTAGAAACACTGTGTACATTACTTTTCCATACCAGTTAAATAGCTGATACACCTTGCAGGATTAAAGTGATATTTTAGTTTAGTTCTGAATTTATGTTTATAATGGTGACATAATAAAATAGTGGTTTTTAATAAGTTTTCTCACAGAAACATTGCAAACCAAAATCCAAACACTTTTCGTAATATGTACATAATAACAAACTTTTCACTTGACGATCTTATAAAATGCAAAGACAAAAGTGGAAATATTTCAATTGCGAATGTTTGCTGTATACCAGATAGCAATCATAAACAGCATAAAAGAATGTGTATGATGGGTCTCTCATTAGTCTGTAGTGGAACTAGCTAAAGACAACATCTCATTAACAACAAATTATATCGCAAACATTGCAAAGGTAACATGTACAAATAGTTATCTCCAACAGTTTTATGTCGTATATATAGCTAATTTCTCAAATTTAACAAAATTCCTACTATGTTTCCAATAAAAGAAGCAAACTTTGAGTGTATAATATGCATGGACAAAAAAATCGTAATTTACTCTTCTTACCAATGCAAACACTGTTTCGCTTGCGACATGTGTGGATGACAATTTGACAACTGTTGTTACTGTAGTAGACCTAACTCTATGATCCAAATGTTTAGTTTAGCTTAGATCTGTATTAGGTTTAAGTTTGAAAACAATTATATTCCTCGTATGTCAATTTTGATTTTTCAATAAAGAATTTAAAAATCAGCATATCGGTACTTATCCCTTTACCGATATGCTGTTTTTTTTAAACCACAACAATAACCTTGAAAATATCGATCCACCTAACTTTCACACCTCAGCATGTCGTCATCATGACGTCACCATACCGTAACCCACCACACCACGTGCTAGGTCACGCACCATTACCACCAGATGCTTAACCGTCAATTAACCACCACATGGCTCTTGTGACGTCACTCCTCAGCAGCCCTATGTATCCACTACTTTGTTATTATATACTTGTTATTATACAGGGTGGGGCAGCATAACTTCCTTTTTTTAAATGTGCGCCATTTTGTTTGTTCATGTCATAGCGAAGAGCTAGCAGTCTCGTTTGAGAGGCGTTGGAACAGTGAAGAGCATTTGTTTGCCGATCAGGCCTACCTTTTGAGTGGATGTTCAGTGATCGTAACCCAGCGCGCCTTTCAGAATCAGTTTTATTTAGCCCCATTGGCCCTTGTACCGGACCGCAAATCAATTGTTATGTGGTTCAATACGTTTAGACAAACTGCAAGTGCTACAAAACGAAAAACTGGAGTCCCATTAGTTCACTGAGAACATTGAGGCAGTGAGAGCTTCAATGTTGCAAACACCAAGACACGCGCTCAAACAGAAGCGTGTTTTTGTCTTGTGCGCTCAAACATGAGTCTCCTCAAACTTGGACTTTCCAATCGTTCTGTAACGAGAATTCTCCATGATGACCTACAATTCCATCCATAAAAGATGGTGATTGAGCAGGAACTGTCAAAACGCCTTATGTTAATCAGGGGCGATTTGCAATGGCCGGCTCAATCTCTTTTGATTTTTCCTCTTGCGACTTTTTCTATGGGGTTTTTTGAAGTCCCGAGTTTATGTGGACAGCCCAGGGACCCTTCAAGATTTAAAAAAAAACAAGATCCAGGAAGAAATTGCCAACATGACGCCTGCTATGCTTGAAAGGGTAATGGAAGACACTAGAAATCGCAAAAAATCGGTATACTCAATGTATCTAGAATGGGGGACAACACCTGCATGATTTACTCTTCAAAACTACGTAAAACAAAACTTTAGGAATGTACTTACATTGTAAAAACCAAATAAAGTTTGTCTGACTCATACAATGCGTTTTATTAAGCTTTAAAAAAAGGAAGTTATGCTGCCCCACCCTGTACTTGTTAGGAGAAACTCTTTATTTAAATTAACAGATGTTAAAATAAAAATAGGCTTTACTCTGGAAGTAATACCGAAACGGCACACGGAAGATTTCTCAGGTGTCGTTTGACGTCACTAACTGCTGACGTCACTTTGAGGGAACACCATTACCGCAACGATACGGTATGAGCCATCGGCCTCGGTGGTGCAGTGGATAGCGCTGCGGGCTGATAATCCAAATATTCCGGGTTCAAATCCCGCCGGCGGCACTAACTTTTTATCAACAATTTTCATATCAGCAAGTTTGGTTGGTTTGGTTAGGTTATGACAGTTTAATTTTATAATTAAAAAATTATAAAATTGATTTTTAGGCAATTATAATTTTATTTTATGAAAAAACTATTTTTTAGATTAGTAAACCTTTTATTCGATTTTTCCATTTTCAGCACCTTTGGTTAGTTTGGTTAGGTTATGACAGTTTAATTTAATAATAGAAAATTATAAAATTGTCTGTTTCTTCAGACGCAGCAGTTAGTGACGTCAGCAGTTAGTGACGTCAAACGGCACCTGAGAAATCTTCTGTGTGCCCCACCGGAAGTAATACAGTCTGTGGTTAACCTTACAAACTATTTCAAACTACCTCCATATGTTTAGTTGTAAACAAAGGGAATTGAGTTTGATGCTTTGATCTAATGTGAACAGATAGCGCCACCGTTCCCAAAATTTAACCCTTAATTGTACTGAAGTGATGCCCTTTCTTAATATTCTGAGACATATTTGCACATATAAGTGAAAATACCTTTAATTTGACACCTCAAACGTTAAATATATAGATTTCATCCTATGCTATTATATTGTTTGGTCAAAAAATACTTTTTACCTTCCCTGTAGCAGCAATCCTGAGTACCGTAACTTACTTGTTAAATCTAATTGTATTTAAATAGAAAATAAATATGTCATTTTTATGGTTATTTCTATAAATAAAATTACAGTTTTGTCTGTACAAATTATAGTTTGTCTGTAGAATCGTGTAGTTTTTGGTTATTTTTACGTCTAATATCCTAAGGGCCGCTTTCCCCAAATCAAGTTTAACTCTGATCGTGGTTTAAACTCTAGATTAACCTCAGATCCACTTTCCCCAAAATAATTTCTCCGTTTAACCCTCCGAGTGTCCATAGTTTAGGCCTTAATGTCCACCTATTTTTTGCGCATTTGCAAGGTTTTATTAAAACGGATCTGAGAAGATTAAAAACAATGTTAATTCTACTGTTCTATATACCATTTTTTTTTGGAAAATCATGGGCTTCAATATTATACATAAAACATAAGGAACATTTGTTTAAAAAAAAAATCTTTAGGTAAAAAAAAAATATTTTTGAAAAATTGAAAAAAAAATAAGTTTGCGCTCAATGAAATTGTATAAATTATAGGCCTATAAAAATTTGAAAATAGCCACTTTGTTCTAAATTTAATGAGGATTACAAATATATAATAATATAAGGAAGTAGATTTGCAAATAAATAAGTTATGGGCAAAAAACAGATTTCAGTACATAGCGTTTAGCTAAGAATGCATAGCCTAACCATAGCTAGGAATCTGGCTGATAATTTACATCAATATCACTACCTACTTCTTTAGGATCATCAACCAGCCCTTCAAAATCCCTTAAACCTTCTTATAATGCACCACGTATATCACTACTTTTGATTTTTAACACTAAAACTATGATAAACGTAATAAAACACATCAGTCATCGGTCCGAGGGTAACCTAGCTATTTACAAATACGCACGTCAGCTGCCTGCTACAATTACGATCGGCTCGGAGACCATACAGCGCTTAGAGACAGACCTGGAGAAAGCTTAGAATATAACGGAAAGAACGATACCTAACTCGATCCAGTTCAATCCGATTCAGTCAGTTATAGAGCCTTCGCCGTAAACGATGTCTGCGTGTCGAAAATTCAACAAGTAACACTACACAAAGTGTGCTGCTTGTCAAATTTTCGTCAAGTAACACTGGGAGGGTTAAACTAGGTTTAAGTTAACCCTCCGGTTGAGGCTGGTTTAACGGGCAATCCATGGGTTAAACCAGAAGAGAAGAAGAATAGCTGGATTTTGATTGGCTCTTGGCTGACTAGTTACGTTCGGCAGACGGCAATGACAAAAAATATCCTTGTTTGACGTTAGTCTTGTCAAACATAACCTAAAACAAACTGAACTGGAAATAAATTAAGAAATAGCAAACCAGAACCTATGTAGACAATTAATTCATGACTATTTCAAATTTAAAGATATAAGGCAACAGATATAATGGTTTTACGGTTTTTTAATGCGTAAAGTAGGCCTAAATTATTATATTTTCTGTAGGTAGTATTGTAGTTGTGTACAATCGATAGGTTACCTTGTCCACAGAAACGCAACATTGGTTGGAAAGTTTAATCGCTCATAAGAAGCCTTTTGGTTTGATTTTATTTTAACACGATTCTTACATTACACAAAAGTAAATATTAGTTAACATTCGGGCCTAACCACTAGCCTATTATCATGTGTTTCATAATTACTACTGATTTAACAACTACTGTGGTAGGCCTAAAACTTAAATTTAGTTTAGAAACATTGATCGAACGTATCTAATGCTGAGTAAGCCTATGCCTGGCATTACAAAGATTAGGCTGTTAGGCTCTAGTTTTTAATCCACAAACATTAATTTTGCGTCTTTCCCAACATTTTATTTTCACATGATTGTAATTAATGCAGTTATTTTATGCGTGCAATAGGCCTACTGTTTGATTAAGTTTGAGATTTATTAAACACAAGTAACGAAATGCTTATATAATAGCAGTTGCCTGCAAATAAAAATGTTTCTTTTTAATGTAAACAATTGGAGACAATAAAACGAAACGTAATACAAATAACGAAAACACGAGAAAATTAATGACAGATATGTCATAGTGGGGGGCTAAACAGCTAATATTGCAGACAAAATTGCATAACAGTGTTGCCAACATTGTTGCTTGCAAAGAAATCTAGGTTAAACCAGGGTTAAACTAAACTTTCATGACAAAATAGTGGGGAAAGCCATCCTAAGTTTAACCCAATGATTAAAGTTAACCGAGATTAAGTTAAACTTGATTTGGGGAAAGCGGCCCTAAAAGAGTCTTATCTCAATTTCTGTCTGTCTGTTTGTCTGTCTGTCATTGTGTCTGTGCCCTAACGCCAAATTACGTGGCCTACTCCCAGACATCTAGAGTACCTATCAAGATTCAAACAATTTGAATGTATTCACTGGACTGGTGAGAGTGTCTTTAGCCATTAAAATATAGGCTACTTTGTAAATAAAATAATGGATGTTAAAAAACCTAATTTTGTGCGATTTTTGCCAAGTTTTCTCCCAATGTTTACCAAATACATCATCTATGATATAACAAACAGCTGTTTGGATCAAGATTATTTTTTTAAGCTGTCACTGAAATGTTTACATTAATAATGCTGCTTACTAATATTACAACCTTTTCCGATCACGTTTTGTAAGAAAAACTTAAGCAAGTGAGATTAAAAACATTGTGCCTTACATAACTGATTTAATTAATCGAAGTGCAATTTTTAAATGTGTAACCGTAATCATATATATTAAAACGTGACAGGGTTTTTTTATTTCACAATTCTGAATCAATCACTTGACGGATTTTCATGATTTTTGTGTTGAAAGAAATATAATTTTGAAAACTAGGGAATGTCGAAGCCATAATTTTAGTTTGGGGTTTCAGTTTTTTAGAAAATAAGTTTAAAATTTAAAAAAAGTCTAGCAGCCGACGCTAACATTCTAAACTAGCTTTTCGTATAATACCATTTGCTTGACGCAACAGCTGTAAACATTAAGCGTGTGTGACACAAATTCAGCATTTGGATAATAATGGCATACATCGGGTTGACTTATTTATACTACGTGTAATGCTATACTCATTGATACGTTCATTTAATCGGTAACAGGATTAAAGATTATTTAAATATACATGGTAAAATGCTGGATGTTCTAATTTATTTTTTAGTGCGGTCTTTAAAATTTTAAGTTTGTTTTAGTGCAATATAATTTATTTTAACTAACAGCTGGTTGATTATAAAAATATTCTTTTGAACTATATCAGGTTAGTTTATTATTCTGTGATTTTGCCATTGATTATATTAAATAAATAGGATTCTATAACCACTGATGTATACAAATGGAGGCTCTGCCCCAGAGTCTTCAGAGGAAAGTTTATGCAAATTATTTTTCTGTTCGACTTTTTTAGGAAAGAATAGAAAAATAACAATGTTTACTGTTTTAATTCATCTTGGCAGCTTTTTGTTTACAATAAATGTTTAACCGCTTAAACTCTGCTTAGATTATAAATGGAAATACGGTATTGACATAACTTCTGTTTTAGTTGACTACTCAATTCCCGTACGTAGGACGGGCCAACAACTCACAAATTGAATTTCACTTAGTCTGCAGGCTTGCTGCAGCGTGGATATTTTATACTACTGTGCTCAATCGATGGCAAAACAAAATTATATAGGCCTAATATTTTTGTATTAGGCCTACAAACAAAATAAGATTAGGCCTTAACTTACCACAAGCCAAACCTTAAATCTAAATTTACTTACTTCTGAGACATCATCTGAGTACGGTAATCTGCCATGCGTAATCGCTCCATCTTGACAGAATCAACAGTAGTCACTTCTTCTAGGTTGATCCCTATAGACAGTAGAAACTGCAAGCATATTTCCTTACGTTTGGATTTGCTGGGATCTGGTGTTAATGGAACTAAATCCTCCAACCTCGTCATATCATCTTCGCCTAATGAACTGGTCAAATTTTTTTTCATCTCCTTGAAACCTAAAAATAAATAGATGGGTCACAAGTGATTCAACAAATATAATAAGATATACACTAACAGTTAAGACAATTATGTAGAAGTCAAATTACCAGTATTCTTTTAGATCAATTTGAATATTGAAAACAATAATTAAAACGACTAAGGCCCTACTCAGCTTTTTACGACATATTTTGAGATGTTGTCCTGAAACGTTGTTCAAACTTGAAATTGAAAACAAAACCTATATATGTCGTTAAACACATTTTGAATAAAATAGTGGTAAGTACGGTATATAAAGTTAATATTAATAAGTAGAATGTTATAATGTGGCTGTTTTATTGATTAAACCTAGGACTACCTATATAAGAAATCATTCTTTGCAGCTTGTGAACATCTTTGCGCAAAATAAATAGAATATCCTGGGGGTATATGCCTTCCACCCCTCTACTGTCAGCCACTTCCACAGCTTGCGTGATGATGCAAACCAGTTGTCGAAGCACTATCTCCTCAATCACAGAGGCAGTGGTCAACAGAGGCGTAGGACTGTCTCCCAACCCAAACATCATCATCTGAATTTCTGTAAAAAATAGAAAAATTAAGAGCCAAGTTATCTAATCGTACAGGTAGTAAATAATTTTACATAAATCAACAATAACTTAACTCATCAGGAACTTTAAATATCCTAAGCTAATATATTTAGCCTATTACATAAAAAATACATATTCAACTAACTTACTGTGACGTAGCCTGGTCAAATATTTTTTTTATGTTTTGTCTAAATGTTTGTGAGTGCGTGTTTAGTGTTTTAACAACCTCAATATAAGTAAGATTGATAATTATTCTAGAAACTATCGTATTCTCCCTTAGAGGAGGTATTAGGAATCTTTATAGATAAAATCAAGGTAAAACAACCTCTTAACTTTTATGTTAAGAGAACTAAAGACTACCGGTATCATTATTTACAATTGTAGGCTATCAACCTTAAATTATGACTACACCGTATTTTTCACTATTTCATATTACCTTTTTCTTTACCGAAACCAGCTAAGCATGCCAGATAGCATAGCCCTTTAGATAGATGTGTCGTATCAGTACCATAACAAATCAAATAAGCCCCTAAGTAAGCCTAAATCACTGATATGTTTGCATCACAACTATTTACCTTAGATAGCCTACATAAACTTGTGGCAGTGGATCAACCCTAGAATTTGTTAATCAGTTATTAGAAATAATAGTCCAGGATGTTAAAATAGCCATGTCTTTAAGACAGTGCTAAATTTTTATTATTTCAAGGGTTCAGGGCCTTGGGCAAGCTGTTATCAATAAAAACAACCATGTTTTGGATTCAATTAATGTTTTGAGATAATGAATATTATTACTACTTTTAAATCATGTCTGAGAGCCTACAAAAGGGAAGGTCTATTTCATGATTTTGTCTTATCTGTAGTGTATGGACGGTGTTACTACAAGTCGTGATGTACCAGTAAGTTAGGTCGCGACCCATAACTTACTGCTGGTCTAAGTTACCGTTTGTCCTAACTTAAAAGTAACTTAATGAACAATGGACCGGATGGCTTGCAGTAATCTAGTGATTGGCTAATACAGTAGAAAGACGATACACCATCTTAACCTGGCCTGAGCCAACTTAAAGCAGACCGTCAGACCTATAGTCTGATTTTTACCGGAGTGCGGCTGGAGCTCAGCCCTACCTGCGAGGGACCCGACTCACGCACGCACACTCACCACCGTCCTAATTGCCTGAAAGCCCAGATCCCCTATTCACTAAGTAGAAATATAACATCTGTTGTAGGATACCTCAAAATTGCAATTCGTTTGATGTTAGATATACAGTAAAATGGTTAGTGTTTAATAAATTTTTTGTTTAATTCAATGAAAAATGAGTCCAAACACGAAATGATTATGACAAGTAGTTAGCTAATAAAAACGTGTTAAAATATTCGTAACTTTTACACTTTATAAGCAAAATATATATTGTTTGGTATCATTTTACTAAGCATTTTGAGCTGAAGTCAAAAGCGTTACCAGATTTTATAACAAACGTAAAATTACAAAAATTGATAGTTTAATTTCCGTGAGCCAGTGATGACTCGCGCGGCAGGACAATGGTCCGTCCCACGTCCGTCCTAATCCCTTGCGTCTGTGTGTGTGAATAGGGTCGACCCTTCAGCCAGCCGCTTTCCGTCAACAATCACACTATAGGCCTATCTTAGGTTTATCTCTGCTATCTTGGAGTAATTTGATATTAACCTGAAACCAAGTCATTTCGTGAACAATTCAGACGAGCAAGACATAATAGGTAAGTTAACGGCTAGTATAAGCCTATTAATTTTATTCTCGCAAAAAGAAAAAAATAACAAATTAAGTTATTATGGTTGAACTAAATAAGCATAGGGTAGGTAACTACGAAATAGATGTCACTTTGCTTTCAGTCTCCTTTAAATAGGACCTAGACCTACCTTTAATGAATGAAATATTATCTTTTGAAGATTCCGGTTGTGTGCAAATGGAATTCATTTTGGATAGTAACAATGATCATTTATTTGCAAAATGGAACTGTTGAAGTTGTACAGAGTACTTTGAGTCTCTTTTACGATGCAAAAATAGTCTGTTGGAAAAGTGGTAAAGTTATTACCCTAGTGAAACAGAAATATGAAATAAACAATAAATATAAATAAAAACAAAGACCAGAAGCAGACGATACTATTATGTCCCTCCATTGCGAGCCTTTCAAGACCGGAAAATGCCGCGCGTCTGCGCATGCGCAAGTAAGCGTTATTCGTAACACTTGTAACAGCTGCAGCTGTTTCAGAAAATCACACTAGTATCTCCACTGCAACTCTTGCAACAATCTACTTGAAACTGGAACGGTTCTCCCGCGCTAAACTCCAAACCATTTAATTACTGTAACTGAATGAAGAATTTTACAGATTATGTTTATGTATGTGTTACTTTACTTACTGTAACCTCTGGCACCTCCTTTATTTTATAAAATAAATTTTAAGTAACTTCTGTGGGCTACGTTACCGTTATCATCTATTTATCTATCTTCAATTGTATCCAAACATGTTTTCCAAAAGAGAAGATCCCAATTCTCATTTAATTTTTAATGGTCTAAGCTTTTTGAGGATTATTGGCATCTTGCTTATAATGGAATGTATAACTAAATGTAAATGTTCAACAAGGCTAATACCATTGAGTATAAACCTAACCATAAATGCTAATACATGATAATTTATTTTATTCACTAGCGCTTTCAGAAACTAGGTTTCCATTCAAAAGCGCTAGTGAATAAAACAAATTATTTTATTGGCCTTGCCTTGTTGAACATAGCTGGCTCATTAATTGGAATCCTTCTGTACTTCTCGTCCATAAACTAAAAATAAACTTTTCCACATAAACTACAAAGTACTCCAGTGTTATTGATGTCTTCCATTACTCGTTTTTCTCAGAATTTTCGCATTGAAGAAGGAGCACAAAATCATCAATGATAAATGACCTCCGCAACACAGCAGCAATCAAAATCTATCAATAACTAACCCCAACTTCAACTCAGACATAACTCGATCATAACATAAAGAATAACAAACGGATATGAATAATAATTATGAGGAACTAGTTGCAGTTGCAGTGCAGTCAAGATAAATACTACGACAACGACGCTAGTTAGTGGTTAGTGACCGTGACTTTCTGAAATAGCTGCTGCTACGCCACCAGTTACTAGCGCATGCGCAGAAGCGCGGCATTTTCCGGTCTTGAAAGGCTCGCCCTCCGCTAGTGTTCGGTATCGAACATCGATGTTTTCAAAATATCGATGTTCGGAGGTCGATGTTCGATGTTTTTACCAACGATGTTAGAAAGTCGATGTTTTACTACCATCGATGTTTTGGTATCGATGTTTTTTTTTTGGCTGAAGCTGTTTGTCGCAGATCGTAAAAGTCACAGTTAAAAACTGTATAGCTCTTTACAATATAAATATCTATCAAGTTAATACTTGTTTCTCATTCAAATGATAGTACTACATCATACATATGATATGTAATAACACATATTTTTGATTGTACCTATTTGAATATGGAATACCAAAGTCAAAGACTAGATGTCCAGTAATACATCCAGTAGTACATCCAGTAATTACAACAACACGTATAAAATGCTAATCAAGAAGTTATAAAGTCAAAGAGTAATTTATCCAACCTGGGCGTTTTAAAGGTCGTTGACTTTAACATGTATTCACGCATTTTTTAATGAATAACGGAATACTGAGATTATAAACTTCGATGTTTTTCACTTAAAAACATCGATGTTTTTCGCATGAAAATATCGATGTTTTTGAACCGATGGTTTTGCAACATCGATGGTGATAGTTCGATGTTGCTATCGATGGTAACATCGATGGTGATCTATCGATGTCCGAACACTACCTCCAATAGTCCAATTCCAATATTTCCATGCCCAGCTTTGTTTTTTTCTACGCCTAAAACAAGGCCTTTTTTCCCCATGAAGCTTAATTCTCACTTTTCTGTAATTTATATTGTTGTACAAAAGAGAATACAGTATTTCCCCCTAAACAAAAAGGCTCCAATCACTAAATAATCACACTTGAAACATGTTAGGAGTATGTACACACAGTCAATAAATAAATAAAATAAGTAACGTGTGATTAACAATCTATAACACTAACACTAAGTAAAGAAGGAAAAGCAGTACGTAAATAACATATTATAACATTCTTCCCTCCTTGGAATGAAAGTAGTTCTTCAAATAGATAGAAAGCTTCCACGGTCTATTACTTTTTACAATTGGCTCCTTGTTATTTTTCAAATTATTTTCACTATCCTACTAGTGGTTTCGGATTGTTGGACAGCTAGTAGGGCTACAATCTTGAAAGTAGAATCGTCAGAAGTAGTCTCATCAATCTCATCCACATCTGGTAGATTGTTATTTTCAATGTCTTGCTCAGAAGCTTTACTCATCTTGCTTGACGCACAAAGGGGCTAAGTGGTGTGTTGAATGAAACAGTAGTTTCTGTTTCATCTGGATATCGGATATCTCTGAGTCACTAAGTCAGGATTTCCTTCAAAGGAGTGTCACTTCTACTAATGGGTTATGAATTTAGAAGTCCGGTTACGTTTACGCATAACTATGTGCCTGATGTTAGATGCCAAGATGGAGTTGATACAAGGCGTATGAAATATATACGCCTTGGTGTTGATATGCCATAGCAGAACGTCTGGAAAAGCCAAACATTCTTTCTTGCGGGGTGATATTTGTTGCCGTGCACACATAAAAAAATCAAAAATTCTAAAAAAAATTTAACACTATTTTATATGGGTACAAATAAAAGTTACCACGAAAATTGTAAATACAACTTTTTAACTTCTAAATTTATAAAATTCTCAATTATAAAAATGCTTAATTTATTAAATTCTTAATTAGTAAAATTAAATTTTACAAAATTACATAATTTCTAGTTACAAATTTTGACATTTTCCAAAAGTCTATATATAGAGGTGACATCAGCCTGATGTCTACACTGCTCCGTGTCGTTCTCCACCAAAAGTAACAACAACATGTCGTGTATCACCGAACATTTACTTGAAGTTGTTTATACATACCCGATGCACTATGATTTATATCACGTTTTAGCAACTAGAAATTTAAAATAGGGTTCGTCTTCATTATTTGTTATTAAACTACGTTTTTCTGAAGAATTTACAATAGAATTCCCAAACATTCAGACATCTTGGATTTATTAATTATTTTAACACTTAAACATTTGATTTGAATTATCAATAGTTTTTCCAGTGCCGCTGTCAATCCAATGTTGGGTGATTGCTGACAGAATAACGTATTTAATACTGGTTTGATGATGATTCAAATTACTATTTAATAGTTCATACAATATTGTATTAGCTATAGCACAGCATATTGTAGAGGTTTTGCTAGTCAGAATAGACGAACTAGAGAGATGGTAGGTAATGGTAATGGTAATGGAGGTGGGTGGAATGCTAATTGATCCGTCAACTCATTGAAAAATATATCTACATACCAGTCTGTTAAAAGCATTTAATTTCATCCCTTGGTCTGTATATACAGTTTTCTCTTGTACTTTTGTTATTAACACATGTTATTAATCATTATTAATTTTTGTAAACAGTTTTCAATAATAATACACATTCTTTTGTTCACATCACAGTGTTTCTAATTTAATCTACATTTTTTCTATCAAATAATCATTTCAAGAACATCAGTTCACAACAAAACAAACATGGTCCTTCGAGCCAATGGATTTATTTTTCTACAGTTCATTGAATCATCACAGTAAGTTTTAATTTTTATTTCAAACAATCATGGCAGAACTTAGGCTTCTACAAAACAAGAGAGCTTCAATCAAAGGCTCTCTCTCAAAAATGAAGACCTTCGTGAACAATTTTGACATCAATACAGGTAATTTATTAGATATTGAAATCAGAAATGAAAAGTTAGAACAGTTGTACAGTGAATTCACAGACATTCATAGCAAAATAGTTGCAATCACTTTAGATGAAACTGACAACAGTTTTGATGAATTTGAAGAAAATTACTACATGGTAAAAGTAGCTTTCAAGGAAATTTTGGATACAAATAAGAATCTTTCAAGGCCTAATTTGAATCATTCAAGTTCTGGTAGTTCAATTGGCAATGTGTCACAAGAATCAAACTTTTTAAAACTTCCTAAATTCAATTTACAACCATTTGATGGAAAATATGAAAATTGGGTTTCATTTTACGACCTATTCCAATCAACGATTCATGCAAATCAGTGTTTATCAGATGTGCAAAGGTTTTTCTACCTCAAGTCATGTTTGAAAGGGGAACCTTTAAATCTCCTTTCAATTCAACTTTGCCCCTGACTCAGTCCAACTACTTAGTTGCGATTGAACTCTTAAAAGAGAGGTATTGCAACAAGAAAATAATTGTTAACACTCACCTTAAAGCTTTGTTTTCACTGCCCAATGTAAACTCACTATCAGATTTGAAATCTTTATTAGACATCACCAATGTAAATGTGAGGGCATTGAACAACCTTGGGTACAAGACTGAGGAGTGGGATGTATTACTAGTTCATTTGCTAACATCAAAATTGGATCAAAATTTAAGAACCAAATGGGAATTGAGTAATACAACCAAAGAAGTAGGCACTTTCACACAATTGGAACAATTTCTTAATCAGTATATTCAAGCTTTAGAAACAAGTCAAGATACCAGCAAAGGTACTAATGTATTTAGACACATTAGGACAAATTCAACTGAAATATTTAAAGGTACTACACAGAGTTGTCCTTTATGTGTACAAGATCATCCCTTGTTTAAATGTACAGAGTTTTTAAGTCTCAAACCCTATGATAGAATTCAAAAGGTCAAACAGCTTCATAGATGTTTCAATTGCTTATCAGCTACTCACATGGTTGACACTTGCAAAGCATCCAAATGCAAGGTCTGCTCCAGAGCTCACAATACCTTATTACATATCTCTAAAGAGTATATGCCAGAATTAGACCCTAAAGTTAGTTCTAAGCATAAACTTGACACAGGATTTCAAGCTAAGCCCAAACCTGAAGTTAGCTCACACAACAGTGGTTCCAGCAAATCAGAAGAAAAGAATAATCCAAAATGTAGTAATAGTACAAAACTATTATCAGCAGGCATTGGTTCTCCTACAAGAGTGATGC